ATTATTATTATTATTATTATTATTATTATTATTATGTAATACAATAAGGTGATGTTTCGTATTTGTCTATGATTAAACTTTTGACTTGCCACTATACTCGGACATTCACAAATAAATAAAATAATAAATGTCTCTTGATTTTGCATTTAAACTAATTAATTAACATATAATATTAACATAATAAATTAATATATAATTATGATTTAATGAACAAATAAAGATCCCTTAATTTTGTATTTTATAATAATAACAACAATTATTTAATACAATAAAGTGATGTTTCAGATCTTCAGATCTGATCTTTTTCATTGGTTATTTGAGTTGTCAATATCACTCAGACATAAATAAATAAATAAATAAATAAAAGCCTATTTGACACAAATGATGAATAAATAAATATATACAATAACAAACTAAACATAATGTACATAAATGCATCAATATTACCCATTAGTATTACATTTTACATTATTAATACACAAATAAAAATATTTAAAAATGGTCAATGTACAAATAAATAAATAAATAAATGCCTATTTGACAGGAATGATAAATAAACAAATAAATAAATACACTAACAAAAATGCAATAATAATGCCTTTATTGATACACAAATTAAAAAATAATCAATGTTTATTAATTAGTTAATGCATAGTTTTAGAAAAATGAAAAACAATTAAAATAAATAAATAAATAAATAAATAAATAAATAAATACCTGTTTGACACGAATGATAAATGAAAAATAAATATACAAACACAATAACTATACAAACTACACAAATGCATAAACAATGCCTGATGGAGTTAAATTTTAAATTATTGATACACAAATAAATATATTTAAAAATGATTAATGCACATGATTTCATTAATGCCTATAAAAAGAATGAGTTTTCATGTGTGTTTAACAAACAAACAAACAAACAAACAAACAAACAAACAAACGCGTCTTTTAGGTCTTTTACACGTATGATAAATGATTAAATAAACACACAAACTACAAACTACACAAAACTACATAGGCATTATTCACCTACAAAGGCACATATAATGCTCCTTGGTGTTTTATATTAATGAAAAAATAAACAAACAAACATTATATATATATATATATATATATATATATATATATATATATATATATATATATATATATATATATATATATATATATATAATATCACATATTACCTGTAAACTCGGCATTAACCGAGCAAACAAGTGTCCCAATATTCCAACTGTTTATATGAGAGACATTAGCTAGTGCTAAAACACATTCCCTCTGTTTCTATTCACGGTTCTTCTGGAAAAGTCTTGAAATGCGGGTGTGTTTCCTACCGTGTCAGTCGCTGGTGCTGCCATAATTCACACACACATTTCACCACAGTAAACTCTGGAAACGGGAGCGTGCGCGGTATCCTAGCAACAGCTAATCATGAAAAGTCGCTCCTCTGCTTTGAAGCGGGATACAGTTGCGGCTGGCAGCTAACGAGAATTATTTACATTATTTATTAAATTAACAATTGAATTGTATTTTATTAACGTCTACCCCAACACCAACATTAAACTCAATCCGCATAGCAATGTAAAAACACTAATTATAACGACACTTATTTATATAATTTAATAAATTACCCATTAAATAGTATTTTATTAAAGTCACCCCTACCCCAACGCTAAATTTACCCCTCACAGTAATGTAAAAATATGAATTATTGTTGTATAGTATTACAAAAAATATGCAGATGCTGTATCCCTTTAAAGCGTCTGCAGTACGTGTAGCGTCATGAACAAACCACGCCCACCATGTACAAATTCTTCCTGTTATGAAAGCGAAGTCAGTCGGCGGACAGTGAACTTTACAACGTGAGTTAATTTTTCATGAACATCATTAATCAAAAATACATTTACAGTGACTGCAGATTCATAATGCATGTGTATTAACCTGTTTTTATTTTGGGCTGAGCATGATCATTCAAACGACGCAATGAAACATTGAAACGGGCAAAAATGTCATTAAATTAAAATTACATCTAAATGTAATGTTTTTATTGTCTTATAATCAGATTTAATAAGGCATGATTTTATTTAAATCGTAATAATAATGTGTCATGTTGAGCACTGCTAGACACTCGATGCTGATGAGATAATAATGTAAATGCATTGTCATCGTGATTATACAAGTTGGTCAGGAGATTTTACACTGCAAAACTACTAATTCACAATACTATACTAAAGTATTTCATATATTTTGACATTCATAATGCATTATAATTCTGTGTATTATTTTCAAATTCTGGGTATGGATCAGAAGATTAAAAAATGATAACAATAGCTTAATATTTATGATCTAAATCCATAATGTTTCTAATCAGAAAAAAAAGATAACTATGATTGTGTTACTAAAATATAAATTCTTTAAAATGTCATATTACACATGAACCAAACTGAAGAAAAATACAAGAATTAAAAACTACAGTGCTTAGTTTATTTATTTATTTATTTATTTATTTATTTATTTATTTATATGTGAAGATATCTCCCAAAACCTCTAAACACCATCTGAAATATTCTTCTACATTTAGCCTTTTTCTCAAAATCATTTGTTTATGTTCAGTCATTTCACTTTAAAGGCAATGAAAATAACATTCTTTGCCATAAAAATGAAATTACAAAATACACAAAGAGTCTGAGTAAAAATAAATAAAATTTAAATATATTACTTTCTGCTGTGGTGAGCCCTGATAAATAAAGCAACTAAGCCGAAGGAAAAGGAATGTATTAATGTGTTTGTGTGTGTATATATATATATATATATACACACGCACGCACGCATACACACACACACACACACATACACACACACATAAATTTTAATATCCTTTTAACAAAATAGTTTTGAATAGTTTTGTTTTTACAGTATACACATAGAATGTATACAGAATACACACAAACACATATAAAATGTCAAAACAAACATTTATTTTGGATTCAATTAGTCACAATATTAATTCATTCATTCTATCATTTTTCTGTGGCTTAGTCCATCGTTTATCCATCAAGAGTTGCTAAAGTGGAATTAACCCCCGAAAGCCCTGTTTTTAATATTGTCTGGTCATTATATTATCAATGTATATTGATTAGTTCTTATATTATTCTCTATTTTTTCTCTGTGCATTATTATATGTATTCTGCATGTCATTATATGTATTCTGCATGTGATTATATGTATTCTGCATGTGATTATATGTATTCTGCATGTCATTATATGTATTCTGCATGTGATTATATGTATTCTGCATGTGATTATATGTATTCTGCATGTGATTATATGTATTCTGCATGTGATTATATGCATTCTGCATGTGATTATATGTATTCTGCATGTGATTATATGTATTCTGCATGTCATTATATGTATTCTGCATGTCATTATATGTATTCTGCATGTGATTATATGTATTCTGCATGTGATTATATGTTTTCTGCATGTCATTATATGTATTCTGCATGTCATTATATGTATTCTGCATGTCATTATATGTGTTCTGCATGTGATTATGTTTTCTGCATGTGATTATTTGCCCACAGCATTGGGAGATGTCAGCGCAGGCCGACCGGGTGATGGATCTGTCCGAGTGGGAGAACCGCTGGCAGGAAGGAAGAACCGGTTTCCACAGATCTGATGTGCACAAGTAAACACAAAAAACTCACACAATTAAAAGAACGTATATAAACATCATTTGGGAAATATATATTTTAAAAAAATGAGAAATTCAAAGAGGGGCTAATAATTCTGACTTCAACTATATATATATATATATATATATATATATATATATATATATATATATATATATATATATATATATATATATATATATATATATATATATATATATTACTTTTATTACTATTACCATTAATAATAAAAATAATCAATATTAGAGTGATTTCTGAAGAATCATGCGATTCTGAAGACTGGAGTAATGAAGCTGAAAATGCATCATTAAATCACTGGAATAAATTATTAAATTATATGATAAACTATTTTTGAACATTTATTTTATATTGCAGTATCATTTCACAATTTTACAATCTGTACTGTATTTTTGATTAAATAAATGCAGCCTTGGTGAGCAGGAGAAGCTGATTTTAAAACACGTTAAACAATCACACTGACCACAAACTTTTGACCGGTAGTGTGTGTGTACATATATATATAGATATATAGATACAAACATACAGTTGAAGTCAGAATTATTATTTTTTTCTCTTTTTTAAATATTTCCCAAATGATGTTGAACAGATTCAGGAAATGTTCACAGTATGTCTGATAATATTTGTTCTTCTGGAGAAAGTCTTATTTGTTTTATTTCGGCTAGAATAAAAGCAGTTTTTAATTTTGTAAACACCATTTTAAGGACAATATTATTAGCCCCTTTAAGCTAGATTTTTTTCGATAGTCTACAGAACAAACCATCGCTATACACTAACTTGCCTGATTACCCTAACCTGCCTAGTAAACCTAATTACCCTAGTTAAGCCTTTAAATGTCACTTTAAGCTGTATAGAAGTGTCTTGAAGAATATCTAGTCTAATATTATGTGCTGTCATCATGGCAAAGAGAAAATAAATCAGTTATTAGAGATGAGTTATTAACACTATTATGATTAGAAATGTGTCGAAAAGGTCTGCTCTCTGTTAAACACAAAACTGGAAAAAAATAAACGGGGTCGAATAATTCTGACTTGTATATATACACACAAAACTAATATAAAAAACTAATTTTCAGTAATTTAAAAAAACATATTTAATCTGATTATTTGGTATGTTTTGATTACAACTCAGAATAAGTGTGTTGTTTGCTTTCCACATAAAGGTATGTTCTGCTGAATGATGATGATGAGCAACATTATTTTATTGTAGTATTTCTGCATATTTTATTAGACATATTGATCTTTTATTTTGCAGAATGCACTTGAAACATTAAATTAGACACTTTACTTGCATTGCTAATGCATTTACCACTTTTAAACCAAGTGCTTCCCACTGCGCCACTGTGATGCCCAGGACTGGCCTATTATATATTATATTTATTACAGTTTAGCGCATTTATCATTTGGTTTATGATTTTGTTATGATTGAACAAAATTTGGTTGTAATATTATTACAGCAGTAAAGTGTCTTCATCTTTACTGTTCCTTCTATGTAAATAATCTAAGTGTAATGCAGACAGCAGAATAAACTGATTTATTTTTGTGCTTTTTGTTGTCAGTTTGCTGAAAGCTAATGTGGACAAACTCATATGTGGACGACGGGAGGTTCGGTTCTTCTTCCCGCTTTGTGGAAAGGCTGTAGATATGAAATGGTACAGGATACAGTGCCTTGTTTTAAAGAATAACGTTAAAGATCTTCCTAAAGCTCACTGAAATGCTCATGTTTGTCTTCTCAGGCTGGCTGATTTGGGGCACACGGTTGTTGGAGTTGAATTTTCGGAAAAAGGAATTAAAGAGTTTTTTCAAGAGCAAAATCTGGAGTATAATGAAGAAGCTGTGGCAGATATTCCTGGAGCAAAGCTTTTCAAGGTATCCGAACACCTCTCAGGGATAAAATCAGCCAGAAAGCATTACAGTATCCATAAATCTTACAATGATATTGTTTTTTGGGCATCCAAAACCAAGTCCCATCTACACTGTAAAAAATATCTGTATATTAGCAGTTTATTTAGTGTATTTTGTAATTATTAATGTTTTTATTTTGATTTTTTCCACATTTATTTATGCTTTTGAATTGCTTTATAGGATCTTAATCTTTCTTTCTTAGGATATATTGTCTGGGTTGGTGTTATATATTACACTACAAACACCTTAATGAAAGTGCAGCACATTTTCTGTCATCTTACAGACTTATTTCTCTAGATATTATTAATTATTTTACACTATAGTATTTAAAGCTACTAAAATGTTAATAAACGTCACTTTGTTAAACTGTAGAGGTTGAATTTATAACATCAAAAGTGGACAGAGCAGAGAGCAACATCCCATAATGCAATTCACTACCACAAATAAACAGATAATAATAACAGACATTACTGAATGATTCTCAAATCTCCAAAAATACATTAATTTTCCTTCAGCTTAGTCCCTTATTTATCAGGGGTCACCACAGCGGAATGAACCACCAATTATTCCAGCATATGTTTTACACAGTGGATACACACTCATTCACACACACGCTACTACACTACAGCCAATTTAGTTCATCAATTCCCCTATGTCGCATGTGTTTGGACTGCACTGGTGGGAGGTGTGCGCTTAGTGAGAGGGTGTTCGGGGGTGAGGTTGAGAACAGGATGCAGCAGGTTTTGGGCGGCCACTTCAATCAGGTACTGTACCAAAGTTGGCAACGCAGGGGTTTTTATTTTACAGACTGTACCAAAGGGGGAAAAGGGGGGTGGGTGACATTTTGGGAGTTTTTTAGTTTTTTTAGAAAGAAATAAAAACGGGATGTTTGCGGGAGACTGGTATTATGCGGTTATGGCGCCATCTTGTGGAATGATTACATCAACTGTCGCCGACGAGCTGTCTCTCAGAAATTGTAAATATTTTAAATAAGGCACTATTCTTGCAAATAAACTGCATAGTTGCAATCTAAACAACTACATTCTCCACTAAAAAAGCCTCAAAAGTATATTTGGTTGTCTTATTGCTGGCTGTATGTGAGCGGAGTAATACACAAAGGGTAAAGAGGCTGTACGGGTGCTGATATTACTTAAATATAACACGGCTATCAGCCAATCAGATTCGAGATTCAGACAGAACTGTTATATAAATATATATATACAACAGTTCTGTCTGGTTCTCAAATCTGATTGGCTGATAGCCGTGCGATATTCTGCAATATCAGAACTCCTACAGCCTCTTTACCCTTTGTGTATTACTCCGCCCACATACAGCCAGCAAAAAGCAGACACTACAGATCTGAAGTTTAAAAGATGCACGCTCAGCTGTTTAACTGTCAGCTTATGACTTGAATCCGGAAGAAAGTAGTTCCTCATACAAAAGGGTATTTGAGACTCGCCATGTTTGATTTTGTTTTTATATACACAATTATGCCGTCCAACTGTATGCCGTCAAACTCGTGCCAACGCACGCCTCCCACCAGTGCCGATATACAGCCATATCGCACTGCTACGGGTGTGATATTGCACACATATATATATATATATATATATATATATATATATATATATATATATATATATATATATATATATGTGTGTGTGTGTGTGTATGTATGCATATGTATATGTGTATACAAATACAAATATATATAAGTAAGAATAGTAATTGTCCTGATAGCATTCATCACTCTTATTGAGCAGCGCTTCAGCTTTTATTAATGCATCAGGGTTTTGTCCGCTCCACTAATGCACTTTACTTGTTCACAGAGCACAGATGGGAAGATCTCCATCTATCAGTGTGATTTATACAAGTTCTCCAGGTATGCTTTTAAACGTCTTAATTATAGATGAGCAAGCATATAAAGCACACTGCGAAAAGGAGCTTTTGACTTATTTCTAGTCCAAATATCTAAAACCTCTTAAATCTGAAAGCATTTTCTAGACAAGTAAATAATATTGTGTTGTTTATAGAAATAATGAGTCGAAGTTGAGTGAGTTTTTCATTAAAGCAAGCAGAATAATCTGCAAATTAATCTTATTTCAAAGTGAAATCTAGACTGTTTTGCTTACCCCATTGGCTGTCAGAGTTTGGGTTGGGGAAGGATGAGGACAAAAACATTACAAAATAAAACAAAGAGATGACAGCAGGGCTGCGCCTGGTCAGTACCTGGATAGGAGACCACATGGGAAATGCTGGGTTACTGTCAGTGGTGTTAGTGTGGCCAGCAGAGGGCGCTTAACCTGAATTGCCTTAAAGGATCTTGATCTTTCTTATTATATATTGTCTGTGTTGGTGTTGTACATTACACTACAAACACCTTAATGAACCTGCAGCACATTTTCTGTCATTTTAGAGACTTATTTCTCTAGATATTATTTATTTCTTTTACACAATAGTATTTAAAATGTCAATAAAAGTGACTTTGTTAAACTGTACAGTTGAATTGTCATCATTAAAAGTGGACAGAGCAGAGAGCAACATCCCATAATGCAACTCACCACTGTAAATAAACAGCAAACATAAGCAAAAATACTGAAACTGTTCATAACCAGATGTGTTTTGGTCCATATATTCAGTGCTGTTGCGGGACACTTTGGAGGGATCTGGGATCGAGGAGCACTGGTGGCTATAAACCCATGTGATCGGCAAAAGTAAGTGTTAAATTAATATTTAACGTCTGTATTTATTTATTTAGGGGCGACACGGTGCTCCAGTTTCCCCCACAGTCCAAACACATGCGCTGTAGGGGAATTGATGAACTTAACTGGCCGTAGTGTATGAGTGTGAATGAGAGTGTATGGGTGTTTCCCAGTACTGGGTTGCAGCTGGAAGGGCATCCGCTGTGTAAAACATATTCAGGAATAGTTGGTGGTTCATTCCGCTGTGACGACCCCTGATAAATAAGGGACTAAGCTGAAAGTAAATGAATGAATGGATCATGTATTGATGAGTGTAACTGTATTTTCCTCCTGCAGGTATGCGAGTCTGCTTGTGTCTTTAATGAGCAGCGACTGCAGATATCTGCTGGACACGCTGGAATATAACCCTGAGCTTTATAAAGGTACAAGATTATTCACTTACTATTAATGATGGGCAAAAACTAATTACGATTAATCCATCAAAAATAAAAGTGTGTTTTGACATAATATATATATACATAGCAAAGCAAACCAACAGACATTAAGATAAACATTTTACTAATTAATAGAATGCTAATTATTGAAAATTAAATTAATAATAATAATATAAGAAATTTAAGTTAAAAAAAAAAAAAAAAAAAATATATATATATATATATATATATAGTTTTACTTATGTTATTAATGTTATTATTTTTGTATTATTTATTTAATTTTCATTAATTAGAATTGTAAAATAATAATCTTATTGTCTGTTGGTTTGCTTTGCTATGTTTATGTTACTAATGGTTGAATTGTTTATTAAAATATACAATAATAACAAATGTAAAAAACACACTTTCTGAAGGAAGAACATTACTAAACTTTGAACTTTTCGTTTGCCACATCTGACTTGCAGGTCCACCATTCTTTGTGTCAGAAGACGACATAAAAACTGTATTCGGTGAGTGTTGGTCACTGACATGCCTTTGTTATTATGCACTTTTTGGTTTTATTAATAATTATTATCATTATGTAATCCTATGCATTATTTGTAGTTATTACTATTGTAATGTAATTGTAATTAATTAATTATTAATTAGTAATATAATTATGTGGCATTTGTTATTATTTATTATGTAATTGTTATGCGTTATTTGTTATTATTATTTATTATGTAATTATTATGCGTTATTATTATTATTATTATTATTATTATTATTGTGTTATTATTATGCATTATTTGTTATTATTTATTACTGTTATTATGCAATTATTGGTTGTCATTATTTAGTATTATGCATTATTTGTTATTATGATTGTTATTATTATTATTATGATTTTTATAATTAAGTTATTATTATGTATTATTTGTCATAATTAATTATTATTATTTATTATGTAATTATTATTTATTATTTGTTATTATTGTTATTGTTTAATATTATGTATTAATGCAATATTTATTATTATTATTATTATTATTAGTAGTAGTAGTAGTAGTAGTAGTAGTAGTATGCATTATTTGCTTTACTCCTGCGTAATTTATCCAGTAATGTTTTCTGTTTTTCCAGGAGGAAGCTGTAATATTGATCTTCTGCAGAGTGTGGATGGTTTCGAGGAGAAGCACAGATCATGGGGACTGGATTCACTCACAGAGAAACTTTACCTGCTCACTACTAAAACTTAGTAATCATCACCAGACCAGACCAGCGTTACAAACTCATCACTTGACAACAGCAACAAATGCATAAGGGACTCACAAATAAGGATGCAGAAAAGATGCAATTATTTTCCAATTTTAATAACAGATTTTTGCTATTTTAATATTTGGACATTATTGTACAATAATTGAATAAATTGTTATATTTTGAGATGTCTTGTGTGTGTTTTAAAACTGGATTCAGAGCATTTTATCATGCGATTTCTCAGTTTGGCCACAAGAGGGCAGCAGATTGACATAATGACGAGTTTTTATCTGCACATGCGCGTTTTTATTCATAAACTGTGCCAAAAATACCCTTCTGCCTTTAACACGATGCTGTAGCATAATAAACACTTCTGTTCAGAGACACTGCTACTGAATTTAATTTTTTATTAAATTAACAATTAAATTGTATTTTATTAACGTCTACCCCAACACCAACCCTAAATCCAATTCTTATAGTAATGTAAAAACACTATTTATAACGACTATTATTTATATTATGTAATAAATTACCCATTAAATTGTATTTTATTAACGTCACCCCTACCCTACATTTACCCCTTACAGTAATGTAAAAATGTGAATTGTTGTATAGTGTCACAAAAATTAAGCAGAAGCTGTATCCCTTTAAAGCGTCTGCAGTGCGCGTGGCGTCATGAGATAAGCCACGCCCACCATATACGAATTCTTCCTGATATGAAACCGAAGTCAGTCGGCGGAGAGTGAACTTGACAGAATGTGAGTTAATTTTTCATAAATATTATTACTCAAAAATAAATTTATAGTGACTGCAGATTCATAATGCATGTGTATTAACCTGTTTTTATTTTGGACTGAGCTTGATCATTCAAACTACGCACAAGTGTCATTATATTAAAAGTAAAGTCTAAATGTTATGTTTTTATTGTATTATTATTAGTTTTTATGAGGTAAATTATGATTTTATTTAAATCGTTATAATAATGTGTCAAGTTTAGCACTGACAGACACTCAATGCTGATGAGATAATAATGTAAATGCATTGTCATCGTGATTATACAAGTTGGTCAGGAGATTTTTACACTGCAAAGCTACTTTTTGTACTAATTGTGTGCTAATAATTCGCTATACTATATAAAATAATTATTTCATTTTAACCTTCATAATGCAATCAAAATATGTGTATTTTCACATTCCAGATGTGGATAAGAAGATTTTTTTTTTATTAAACGTCTTTATATTTATGATCTAAAACCATAATGTTTGTAATCAGCAGCTTAATAATAAGTGAATGTAAAAAAATAATAACTATTATTGTGTTATTACTGCATTCACCTTATTTTGATTAAAATAAAAAAAATCACATCTTTGAAATGTCATATTACACATGAAGAAAAATAAATAAATAAAAAACTACAATGATTTATTTATTTATTATATGTGAAGAGATCTCCCAAAACCTCTAAACACCATCTGAAATATTCTTCTACGTTTAGCCTTTGTTTTCAAAATCCTTTATTTATGTTTCGTTATTTCACTTTAAAGGCAATGAAAATAGCATTCTTTGTCATAAAAGTGAGATTATGGTATCTACACATAGCCTGAGAAAAAATAAATAAATTATATATACAGTTGAGGTCAGAATTATTAGCCCCCTTCATTTGTTTTTCTTCTTTTTTAAATATTTCCCAAATGATGTTTAACAGAGCAAGGAAATTTTCACAGTATGTCTGATAATATTTGTTCTTCTGGAGAAAGTCTTATTTGTTTTATTTCGGCTAGAATAAAAGTAGTTTTTAATTTTGTAAACAACATTTTAAGGACAAAAATATTAGCCCCTTTAAGTCCCTATGTTTTTCTGATAGTCTACAGGACAAACCATCATTATACAATAACTTGCCTAATTACCCTAATTAACCCAGTGAAGCCTTTAAATGTCACTTTAAGCTGTATAGAAGTGTCTTGAAGAATATCTAGTCTAATATTATTTACTGTCATCATTACAAAGAGAAAATAAATCAGTAATTAGAAATGAGGTATAAAAACTGTTGTTTAGAAATGTGTTAAGAAAATCTGCTCTCGGTCAAACAGAAGTTGGGGAAAAAATAAACAAGCCGTCTAATAATTCAGGGGGGCTAATTCTGACTTCAACTATATATATATGTATATATCTATATATATTTATATATATATATATATATATATATATATATATATATATATATATATATATATATATATATATATACATATATATAAGAATCCGCTGTGGCGACTCCTGGTGATTAAAGGAACTAAGCCGAAGGGGAATGAATGAATGAATGAATGTGTATGTGTGTGTGTGTGTATATATAAATGATACAGATTATATATATATTTAAATATCTTTTTAACAAATTAGTTTTGAATATTTTTGTTTTTACAGTATGTATGTGTGTGTATCACATTTACATAGTAAATATAAAGAACACACACAGATATATCATGTCAAAACAAACATTTATTTTGGATTTAATTAATCACGATAATAATTAATCCATTCATTTTCCTTTGGCTTAGTCCCTTTATCCATCAGGAGTTGCTACAGTGGAATGAACCGCAAACTATTCCAGCATATGTTTTACACAGTGGATGCCCTTCCAGCTGCAACTCAGCACTGGGAAACACCCATACACGCTCATACACACACACACACACACACACACACACTCATACACTACAGCCAATTTAGTTTGTCAGTTCCCCTATAGTGCAAGTGTCTGGTGGAAACCCATGCTAACACGGGGAGCACATGCAAACTCCACACAGAAATGCCAACTGACCCAGCCGGTACTCGAACCAGCGACCTTCTTGCTGTGAGGTCACAGTGCTAACCTTTTAGCCACCATGCCACCCTTTTTGATATATATATATATAAGCCCTGATTTTAATATTCATTCATTTATTAATTTTCTTTTCGGCCTTATTCATCCGGGGTCGCCGCAGCGGAATGAACCGCCAACTTATCCAGCGCATGTTTCACACAGCGGATGCCCTTTCCATACACACTCATTTACACTCATATAAACTACGGACAATTTAGCTTACCCAATTCACCTGTACCGCATGTATTTGGACTGAGGGGGAAACCGGAGCACCCGGAGGAAACCCACGCAAACGCAGGGAGAACATGCAAACTCCACACAGAAACGCCAACTGACCCAGCCGAGGCTTGAACCAGCGACCTTCTTGCTGTGAGGCGACAGCACTACCTACTGCGCCACTGCGTCGCCCGTCTTTAACATTGTCTGGTCATTATATTACTAATGTGTCTTGCTCAGTGTTCCTCAGTTTATAATGCTAATCAGCCTCTTATTCACTCTTTTTTTGTCTGTGCATTATTTTATGTGTTCTGCATGTGATTATTTGCCCGCAGCATTGGGAGATGTCTGCGCAGGCCGACCGTGAGGTGGATCTGTCCGAGTGGGAGAACTGCTGGCAGGAGGGAAGAATCAGTTTCCACAGATCTGATGTGCACAAGTAAACACACAAACTCATTCATTCATTCATTTTCTTTTCGGCTTAGTCTCTTTATTAATCTGGGGTCGTCACAGCGGAATGAACCGCCAACTTATCCAGCATAGGTTTTACGCAGCAGATGCCCTTCCAGCTGCAACCCATCACTGGGAAACACCCATACACTCTCATTCACACACACTCAAACACCATGGACAATTTAGCTTATACAATTCCCCTATAGCGCATGTGTTTGGACTGTGGGGGAAACTGGAGGAAACCCAGGCCAACACGGGAGAACATGCAAACTCCACACAGAAATGCCAACTGACCCAGCCGGGATTCGAACCAGCGACCTTCTTGCTGTGAGGCGATCATGCTACCCACTGCACCACTGTGATGCCCAGGACTGGGTTATTATATTATATTTATTACAGTTTAGCGCACGTATCTTTTTGTTTATATTTAGTTTATTCCTGTATCTCCTAACGCGGTTGGTCTCCCTAAAACTTCATTGTAATATTATTACAGCAGTAAAGTGTCTTCATCTTTACTGTTCCTTCTATGTAAATAATCTAAGTGTAATGCAGACAGCAGAATAAACTGATTTATTTTTGTGCTTTTTGTTGTCAGTTTGCTGAAGGCTAATGTGGACAAACTCATATGTGGACGACGGGAGGTTCGGTTCTTCTTCCCGCTTTGTGGAAAGGCTGTAGATATGAAATGGTAAGCATATAATACTTTGCTTTAAACGAATACCGTTAAAGCTCACTGAAATGCTCATGTTTGTCTTCTCAGGCTGGCTGATATGGGGCACACGGTTGTTGGTGTTGACATTTCTGAAAAAGGAATTAAAGAGTTTTTCCAAGAGCAAAATCTGGAGTATAATGAAGAAGCTGTGGCAGATATTCCTGGAGCAAAGCTTTTCAAGGTATCTGAACACCTCTCAGGGATAAAATCAGCCAGAAAGCATTACAGTATCCATAAATCATACACTGAGATTCTTTCTTGAGCATCCAAAATCACAACATAGGCTCATTCTGAAAACGTAGCCCTATACACATTTCTGGAGACTGCGAATTATGTAGCCAGAGGTACGCATGGCTGCATTTCATTTTTTAAATGAGCGATATGGGGTGGTATAACCCCATTCCTTTTTGCGCTTATCAGCTCCCCGCTCACCTCCGTATTGACTGCTTTCCTGCTGTAACCAGTTTGTCCCATTGGCTCGCCATGTACAGAACAGAATCCAAAAAATAAAATAAAGAAGTAAATATCAGGGTGAGAATGTGGTAAAACGTGGTAAAAATCAGACGAGGGCTTTTCTTTTTTGCAGAAAAGTGTTGGTTTTGTTTAGGGAAGGGGGAGGGTGGGTCAGTCGATTGGTCAGTCAGTCAGTCGGTCAGTCAGTCGACAGTGGCCTCTGATGGGTTTATGCGAGAACAGCAGGCACGAATGACACTCGGGAGAGAAATTTGAGATCTGAAAGAGCATACGTTAGGCTTTCCAAACCGTCAAACCGCCTCCATATTTTACCCCGGTATCCGGTATTACCGGCGTAATAAAAAAAATATGACGTAAGGCTCAGACAGCGACACCAAACTGTTGGCTTGAGCCTAAACCATTCAGAAACTGAATACCTTCTATGCGACCTTAGGCTCGCGGTCAGAGAGAGAGAGAGAGAGCGAGAGAGAGAGAGAGAGAGAGAGAGCGCCAAGCGATGCACAGCATCTCTCTCTCTCTCTCTTACACACACACACACACACATCTCTCCCGCGATTTATTCAGAAATTTACTCCCACACCGTAAGAAATCTGGCCGGCTTGGGGATTGGAGAGAGCTGTAATTGGGCCATAAAATTATACCCGATAGGTCCCGAGTCCGACAGGTACATTTTGATTGACAGCTTTATAAAGCCTGAACTCGTTTACAGCCCGACATTGTTCAAATGTGCTCATGCACACATCTCTATTGCATTTTTTCAAGAATGAGTCATTTATATGTTTTAACATCATTTATTCGTAACAAACGTAGACTATAGGTCACTTGGAAGTTGAAACAAAAAAATAAAATAAGTCCTCTGTAACATCAAAACGTCTCTGTCACCATTCGGTGACAGAGTATACGGGCAAAGGGTTCGGGTTCGGGCAAAGATCTTCAGCTCTAATGCAGACCTCTCGTTCATATTAACCACGTCTCCCTTCTGTTCAGTCGAAACCGTAAATACTGCCAAACTGCAGGACACTTTGAAGTGCGACTCGTCACGTCACCTCCCTCTCCCCCTCTCCCTCTCTCTCTCTCCCTCTCTCCCCCTCCCTCTCCCCCTCTCCCTCTCTCCTCCACACTGTCCCTTGACAACCACATATACGTTTTTTGTAGGCATTAAATAAAGGATATTTAATACTTTATGACGGTATAACGGTATTGAAACTGACACCGTTGCTATTTTTAGATCCCGCGGTATACCATAATACCGTAATACCGCCCAAGCCTAGCATACATAGCGGCCTCTCGTGTATTCTCGGAAAACAAAAATTGCAAAAATAAGGTCATGTTTCACCATTCAACCAAGGCTCATTCGGAAAACGTAGTCTTGTGACTGCAAAATAGGTCTCGGGAGATACATATTTTAGCAGTTTTTGTTTTCGCGAATCCGCAAGAGGTCACTGTGTGCGTTTTTTTGCATCTCAAATGTCTCTCATGAGTGCCGTTTGTGCCTACGCTGTTCTCGCACAAACCCACCAGAGGCCACTGTCTGACTGACTGAATGATTGACTGTGTGACCGGCCAATCGGCTGACCAATTTTACCAATTGACCTGCCCGCCCACTTACTTCCCTAAACCCAACCGACGGTTTACAAAAGCCGTCCAGAAAAAGAAAAGCCCTCGTTACTCGTTCATTTTATTTTTTGGATTCTGTTTTTGTCCTACGTGATTTCTGGAACGGCTCTTCCCCGGACTCGAACCCGGTCGTATTCATTGTCGTAGTCAACTTCTTTCTGCGTCTCAAGTCCGCCGACGTACACGACAAGCTAGCTGGACAAACTGGTTGCTGCGGGACAGCCCCCCACACGGAGGTAATCGGTCAGCCGTTAAGCGGCAAAAGGAATGACGTCACACCGCCCGGCAGTGTTCGCTTAAGAAAATGAAATGCAGCCATACGTACCTCCAACTACATAAATCGCGGTCTCCAGAAACGTCCACGGAACTATGTTTTCAGAATGAGCCTGTGTTGACATGTTGACATGTTGTCTTCAGAAATGTATATAGAGGTACGTTTTCAGAATGAATCTGGGTTGCAAAATCCAATGTACACTATAAAAAAATATCCGTATATAAGCAGTTTATTTGGCGTATTTTGTAATTATTTGTTTTTATTTTTATTTTTTACACATTTATTTATGCTGTGATTTGCCTTATGATGTGTTGTCTGTGTTGGTGTTGTACATTACACTACAAACACCTTAATGAAAGTGCAGCACATTTTCTGTCATTTTACAGACTTATTTCTCTAGATATTATTATTTCTTTTACATTATATTACTTAAAGCTACTAAAATATCAATAAAAGTCACTGTTGAGTTGAATTTTTAACATTAAAAGTGGACAAAGCAGAGATCAAGATCTCATAATGCAACTCACCACCAGAAATAAACAGATAATAATAATAATAACATATATTACAATGTACTGAATGATTCTCAAATCTCCAAAAATACATTCATTTTCCTTTTGATAGTCCCTTATTTATCAGGAATCGCCACAGCGGAATGAACCACCAACTATTCCAGCATAGGTTTTACACAGCAGATGGAACCCAGTTCTGGGAAACACCCATACACACTCAACACACACACACACTTATACACTACGGCAAATTTAGTTTATTCAGTTCCCCTATAGCACATTTGTTTGGACTATATATATATATATATATATATATATATATATAAGTAAGAATAGTAATTGTCCTGATAGCATTCATCACTCTTATTGAGCAGCGCTTCAGCTTTTATTAATGCATCAGGGTTTTGTCCTCTCCACTAATGCACTTTCCTTGTTCACAGAGCACAGATGGGAAGATCTCCATCTATCAGTGTGATTTATACAAGTTCTCCAGGTATGCTTTTAAACATCTTAATTATAGATGAGCAAGCATATAAAGCACACTGCGAAAATGAAGTAAAATATATTGTGCTGTTTTCAGAACGGGTAAAAATTAAGTGAGCTTCTCATTAAAACAAGCAGAATAATCTGCAAATTAATGCAATTTCAAAGTGAAATCGTGACTATTTTGCTTACCCCATTGGCTGTCAGAAGTTTGGTTGGGGAAGGATGAGGACTCAATTGCAGGGACAAAAACATGGGTTTATTACAAAATAAAACAAAAAGATGACAAACAATATTCCCCGAGGGAGAAAACATTAACAAAACAAATAAGCCAACAAACCTGACTGAGCTGGCAGGGAAGAGCAGGGCTGGACAAGGAATAAACAACGATGAACAGGTACAGCAGACATGAGGAGAATATAAGCAGAAAGAATTAACAAACAAACAGGTGAACAGAATGAACTAATAATGGGTTAACAAGGAGGGTGGGACTAGACAATAGACAGGAGAGCACATGACACAAAGAGACAACACAAGCCATTGTGTCCTGCCGGCAGCTAGCTCTCTGCAACTCTCACATGCTCACCCACTGAAGCTAAGCAGCGCTGCGCCTGGTCAGTACCTGGATGGTAGACCACATGGGAAATGCTAGGTAGAGGTCTGCATTAATTTCCGAATAAATCGCGGGAGCGGTCGGTAACGGGTTTAATTTGGGACAAGAGCGGGCCGTCTAGCAATATCGCTCCCGACTCCCGAGCGAGAAAAGAATAAAAGAAATAGCGCAATGGTGTGTTGAGCTTGTCTGTTGCTGTGTGTGTATGTGTGTGTGTGTGTGCGCACACAGGGGCCAGCAGGGGGCGCTTAACCTGTGAAATGCCTTATAGGGTCTTGATCTTATGATGTGTTGTCTGTGTTGGTGTTGTACATTACACTACAAACACCTTAATGAACCTGCAGCACATTTTCTGTCATTGTGCAGACTTATTTCTCTAGATATTATTAATTATTTTACACTATAGTATTTAAAGCTACTAAAATGTTAATAAACGTCACTTTGTTAAACTGTAGAGGTTGAATTTATAACATCAAAAGTGGACAGAGCCGAGAGCAACATCCCATAATGCAGTTCACCAACATTAATAAACACAAAGTACAAAAAATACTGAAACTGTTCATAACCAGATGTGTTTTGGTCCATATATTCAGTGCTGTTGCGGGACACTTTGGAGGGATCTGGGATCGAGGAGCACTGGTGGCTATAAACCCATGTGATCGGCAAAAGTAAGTGTTAAATTAATATTTAACGTCTGTATTTATATATTTAGGGGCGACACGGTGCTCCAGTTTCCCCCACAGTCCAAACACATGCGCTGTAGGGGAATTGATGAACTTAACTGGCCGTAGTGTATGAGTGTGAATGAGAGTGTATGGGTGTTTCCCAGTACTGGGTTGCAGCTGGAAGGGCATCCGCTGTGTAAAAGATATTCTGGAATAGTTGGTGGTTCATTCCGCTGTGGCGACCCCTGATAAATAAGGGACTAAGCTGAAAGTAAATGAATGAATGGATCATGTATTGATGAGTGTAACTGTATTTTCCTCCTGCAGGTATGCAAGTCTGCTTGTGTCTTTAATGAGCAGCGACTGCAGATATCTGCTGGACACGCTGGAATATAACCCTGAGCTTTATAAAGGTACAAGATTATTCACTTACTATTAATGATGGGCAAAAACTAATTACGATTAATCCATCAAAAATAAAAGTGTGTTTTGGCATAATATATACACACATAGCAAAGCAAACCAACAGACGATAATATAAATATTTTACAATGTTAATTAGTGAAAATTAAATAAATAAATAAATAATAATAATAATAATAATAATAATATATTAATAATAAGGGGAATATTTTATTAATTTGATTTTCAATCATTAGCATTGTAAAGTATATTATCGTCTGTTGGTTTGCTTTGCTATGTTTATGTTACTAATGGTTGAAATGTTTATAAAAAATATGCAATAATAACATCTGACTTGCAGGTCCACCATTCTTCGTGTCAGAAGACGACATAAAAACTGTATTCGGTGAGTGTTGGTCACTGGGCTGTTTTTGTTATTATGCATTATTTGTTGTTATTATTATTAATTTTATCATTATTTATTACTATTAATATGTAATTATTTGTTGTTTTTATTATTTATTATTATGCGTTATTTGTTTTTATTATTTAATATTATTATGTAATTATTATGCAGTATTTGTTGTTAATATTATTTATTACTATAATTATGTTATTATTTATTATAAATAATATTATGATTATGTAATTATTATGCATTATTTGTTTTTATTATTATGTATTATTATGTAATTGTTGTGCATCATTTGTTTGTATTAAATTAATAAACTTATTTGTTGTTATTATTTATTACTATGTAATTATTATCTGTTATTTGTTTTTATTATTATGTAATTATTATGCATGATTTGGATTGATTATTGATTACTATTAGTATGTAATAATTTTTATTATGCATTATTTGTTATTGTTATTATGTATTATTATTTTGTATTATGTAATTATTATGCATTATTTGTTATTATTATTATTATTATTTAATATTATTCTTATTATGTAATCATTATGTGTTATTCGTTTTTTATTATTATATGTTATTATATTATTATTTGTTGTTATTATTATTTATCATTATGGTTATAATAATTCTTATTATGTATTCATTTTATGTAATTATTTTTCATAATTTGTTATTATTATTCATTACTATTATTATGGTATTATTTATTATTATTATTATTATTATTATTATTCGTCAATTATTATTATGTAATTATTATGCAATATTTGTTAATATTATCATGTATTATTTATATGTATTAATATTGTGTTATTATGTAATATTTGTTATTATTATGTATTATTATTACTATGCATGATTTGCTTTACTCCTGCGTAATTTATCCAGTAATGTTCTCTGTTTTTCCAGGAGGAAGCTGTAATATTGATCTTCTGCAGAGTGTGGGTGGCTTGGAGGAAGGGCACAAATCATGGAGACTGGATTCACTCACAGAGAAACTTTACCTGCTCACTACTAAAACTCAGTAATCATCACCAGACCAGACCAGCGTTACAAACTCATCACTTGACAACAGCAACAAATGCATAAGGGACTCGCAAATAAGGATGCAGAAAAGATGCAATTATTTTCCAATTTTAATAACAGATTTTTGCTATTTTAATATTTGGACATGATTGTACAATAATTGATTAAATTGTTATATTTTGAGATATCTTGTGTGTGTTTTAAAACTGGATTCAGAGCATTTTATCATGCGATTTCTCAGTGTGGCCACAAGAGGGCAGCAGATTGACATAATGGCGAGTTTTTATCTGCACATGCGCGTTTTTATTCATAAACTGTGCCAAAAATACCCTTCTGCCTTTAACACGATGCTGTAGCATAATAAAGACTTCTGTTCAGAGACACTGCTACTGAATTTACAGCTAATTTTACTATAAATTAATCTAATGATTTAGTGTCTTTCTGTATCTATCTTATTTTGGACCTGATTTATTTTATTATAATCCTGGGCGTGATTATTTATATGCTTCAGGTGTTGTGCTTAGTTGTTTTACCTGTACAAAAATGTATTTTATGCCTTTTGATATTATTATTATTAATAATATTATTATTATTAAAGTGGTTTGTTTATTATTATTAGCCTAACTGTCTTATGATCTAATCTTATAAGCGGCTTGTGAACCAGAAGTCTTGCACATATTCACTTCCAACATAATAATATACTGTAATCAGGGATGTTTTTGGATTTTGAAATATATATATATATATATATATATATATATATATATATATATATATATATATATATATATATATATATATATATATTTCAAAATCCAAAAACATCCCTGAATATATATATATATATATATATATATGTGTGTGTGTGTGTGTGTGTGTGTGTGTGTGTGTGTAAAACTTAGATTTAAATGCTTATTTCAGTCTAAAATGTATGTGAAAAGACATTTAAGAAAACAAACACATGCCAATTAATGGTAAGTTTTGCACAGAAATTAGCTTAAAATAACTGGCTGTTCAGAAAAACAATCAGGCTTTAACCATAAAATCAGCACATTTAATAGTTAATAGGTTTTATTTTGCAACCAATAGAAGGAGAAATAATAATCAGTTGAGACCCACAGGACCAGTACAGTTTCCATTAAAACCAATACAATTTCCATTATGTCACACTAAAAAACAGGGTTGTTTTAAGCCGTTTGGCTTGTCAATATCTGACCCAACATTGGTTTAAAACCCCAATTATTTTATATTTAATCATTAATACCATTACAAATTATATGATGAGGGTAGGATATATATGTATTAAAATACAATTTAATGTGTGATTTCATAAATAATATGAATAATACTCAGTATAATTACTGTTTTTACATTACTGTGAGAGTTTGGGGTTGGGGTAGATGTTAATAGAAATACAATTATTGTGTAATTTAATAAATATTATATAAAATATGAGTTTAATACTTATAATTATAAGTATAAGTAATTTTATATGATAATATAATATTATATAATAATAATATAATATAAGTATAAGAATAATATTATATGAGTATTATATGAGTATAATACTTGGTATAATTACTTTTTTTACAGTACTGTGATGGTTTGGTTTAGAGTTGGGGTAAACGTAAGCTAAATAAAATACAATTAATGTGTAATTTAATAAACAACATCAAAACTTCCGGCCGCAGCTGTATCTCTTCTAGCTGTCCAGATGTGCGCTGTTTTCTTTAAATGAGCTCGCGCGAAGCACCCCGACTCTGCGAGCCAATCAGGAGCGCCAGTAGGCGTGGCTACAGAGTGTTGTTGTGGATGCGAGAAAATGAACAATGTAGCCCCGTGCGCTGACGCCGATCCACGCAGATCTACAGTACACCTCCGTCTGCACTAATCTAGAGGACAATCTCCATCTGCAACCTCTGGACAGCAGGATCCGGACACCAGCGCGCGGATTCCAGCCCTGAACTTCACGGTGAGCTGCTGCCATACACTCTTCTGCATTGTGCATTGTGTATTTCACTCCATTTATCCTGCTTATTACTGCGCTGCTCCATTTCGCATGGTCGTTTTTGGTCATTTTCTTTTCCATACTGCTGGTTTGTTGAATTAATTGGTATATATCTGCTGTACAGTGACCTTGAGTTTCACTAAAGCCGCTTTAAATTAATTTATTGTTATTATTATTATCATACACCCCTGAATGACGATCATATAGAGCTGTAACGCATCCACCCAAGGGTATCCACCATTGTTTCCTTATCAAAATGCATCCAGAATGCAGCGGCATCTCCTATACGCTGAAATATTAACGCGTCTGCCGGCGTAATGCTTGCATACACACACATGCATACACACATACACACACGCCTTTCTCATCTCATTCATGCACATCATTATCATCTGACGCGCGCAGCTCATTTAGCGATACGCAAGACTCGTGCATTGTATTAAAGGCGACCATTCAGCCTCGGGATCATTTGTGCATGAGTGCAATATTAATATTTGGGCCAAATGTGTGCGTGTGTGTGTCATTAAAGAGGGGGAGTGCACGCGGGGAAAGGTGTGAGATTACGTGCGCGCGCGCGATGTAACTCAATCAGGTTGTAGAGCTGGTAAAGCGGGAGAGAGAGAGGGAGAGACACACACACACACACACTGGGGATCTGACGGCAGCAGGAGAGTCTGTGTGTGTGTGTCATGGGTGTTTCTGCATCACGCACTGTATTATTGTGAATAGACTGTGGAGAAAAGGAAGCGTTCAGTATCTGATGATGATGATGATGATGATGATAACGAAACAGCAAGCCTGATTACAGCAGGTAACGCACTTTATTTAGCAATTTACTATGGTGAAACAAGCGGGAGCGGAGTACATGTACGCAATGGTGGATGTTAAGAGCATGTAGGACAGTGTCGGGATGGATGAATGACAATGCAACCTTTTTTAAAAATGTTTATTGTGACACTTTATTTTTATTTTAAACATTAAAGTAGATTGCAGATGCTTTCAGTGCACTTTTGTTGTAAATTATGCACATAGAGTCAAAGTCAAATGTATGAGCCATCCTTGATAACACTTTATTGACTAGCAATGAAGGTGAGAAAAAATTAAGTGAAAATAAGTGATATGCCCACCATAATAAGGCATTCCCCAACCCCTTTTAAAAAAAATCCCAAATTACTATGCTAATTTGGAGCTGTTTCATTGTAAATAAACAGTTAAATGGTTAGTAATATGTTTTATTATTATTATTGATAATGTTTTATTATTATTATTATTATTTACAAAAGAAAAAATAAAAAGTATACATCAGCAGCAAATAAATTAGCAAACAGTTCAGCTTATTAAAATGAAGAGCTGTTATGAAATTGAATCAAATCTCATTAGCCGTTTCTTCACTGCATAACCTACACAATCTGATTAAAGAGCAACGAATGAATGATTTATTTAGATTTTTTTCGTTTGAATACATTAAATCACTTTAAAAATGCACACATCATTGAAATGAAAGCTTTCGACTGCTTTCCTAACTGTTTATGCTTATTTAGGACGAAATTACTTGTGTTTGAAAAAAAAACTCACCAAGATCAACATCTTTAGATATTAATATTATTAATTATGTGTATATGTCTGTTTAAACATGCACCCAAAACCCAGACTTTTGCTCCGCTTCAAATCATGATCCGTTAAGGAAACAGCGTCTGTTTATCAATATGGAGCGCGTCAGCTGACAATCATGCACCTCTATATAACTGTTTTGAGGATTGCATATTAACGGGAGACGACACTTGTTTTTGTGTTTATTTCAAAATGTTTTCGTGCCTAAACAAAGCGAAAGCACAGAACAGACTCATATTTAAGAGCAAGGCGCGGCCCCTTGCGGTTTGGCGGTATGGGTTGCGTATAGGGTGGCTCGACTCTTTAATGTTTATTTGCCACCCTACAGAGAAAGACTGAAAGTCTATGACTGGAACATACTTTTACAGGATCATAGCAGGACAGAACTGTAAAATAAGGGAGAATCCCGGGAAAAACCAGCCTGATCTCACGAGAAAACGTAAGTATTTTACGTTTTGCCAGTGTAGTGGCTAATTCGTACGAATTCGTATGAGTTCAGTCGTACGAAATGGTACGATTTTAAAAAGGAGGCGTGGCACCTGACCCCACCTCTAACATAAGCAAATCGTACTAAATTGTACAAATTAGATCATACGAATTCATACGAATTAGCCACTAAATGAAAAAGTTACGAATTGCCATGAGATTGTGTTGGAAAAACGGGAGGGTTGACAGGTATGAGTGCGAGTAGAGTAAACGTATCTGCTGTAAATATTACTCAAAGTATGAGTGAAATTAGAGCTTTCAAAAGTACTCAAGAGTAGTGAGTATTACGCTGTAGCCTAAAGAGCTGATGTGTTTACATGTCATTTGTGGATGTGTGTGTAAACGTAACATTCTGTAGTGCATTTAGTGATTGTTCAGCAGGCAAACAACGTCATTAGACATTAACAAGCCCAGATCGGGAGGACGGGGAGAATTCCAGGTGGGCCGGTCTGTTTTTTTTGGCCGCGAGGGCCGGTGTGCCTAGCAGCTTGCACTCTCAGCAGGCGCACTATTTTCATTGATTTATTTATTTGAACATAGCCTCACTCTTTTTATTGATTATTTTGCAGCAGCGCCGCTCTTTTTAGTTATTTTCTTGTAGCTCTGTGAGCAAAATGCAGCATGCAGGTTAATGATGAGATAATCATTCAACCCCAAACAGCGCCACCTTAGTGAATATAAGAATTTGAATAATTAATGTTAATGAATATTACACCTGCTCAATGAAAATCAGACGATTCACTACATTAATAAATCTGACAAAACTTAATTAGAAATCTAAAAAGTTCAGTGGTCAGCATGTTATGATGCCGCCGACACGAGTTCGAACCTCTCCTGAGTAATTATTATTATGTGTTTTTAATTTTTAGTGTTAAGACATACAATATAATACTGTTTGGGATACTTATAGGTGTATATTTTATTTTTTTGTGTGACCACCGTTACAAAGGACTGAAAGAATTTTGCACAGAATATATATTCAGATATTGCAGGAAAGGACATTGTGGTGCTTTAAAGAACAGTGTTGGAGATTTAGCTGCTCTTTAATATTCTCATATTTATAAAAAAAAAACATTTGAAGTTCTAAAGCAGATGTGTCCTCGAAAAAGACGTGACAGTGTCATTAGAAACTGAATTGGAAATGAGCTTAATTTAATATAGTCAGTGGTGAATTGACGGGCCGGTCTAAGTCTTGAAACTTCAGGGCTGAAAAGGAGTCCCACTCTGGCCCTGGACGTTAATATTAGGTTAGATTTAGGTTGTGATTTCAG